TCAGGGGGCTTCTCCGTTCTCGGCTGGTGTGGGTTGGTGCAGCTGGGATGACAGAGGAATATTCCACAGGAGAACGAGGAGTGACTGTACTGTGGACGTTGTTTCTGTCCCTGCAGCCAGGGCTGTGAAGGCTGCAGGCTGCCGTTTGCTGGTTTACAGGGTCATAATTCTGGCCTGGAGCTTGACAAACGACCCAGGACCTCTGAGATGGGAAATGAGGTCTGCATCCCCGTTCTAATCAGGATTCGCTGTCAAAGGTCATTTTCCACAGTGTGGCTTAATAGAGTTGGTTTTATATTCCCTGAGGGATACGGACTTCCAAATGGTTGCAGTCTCACTAACTGTAATGTATACAGCTCGTGTTTGAAAGGAAATCAGCTCTCCTCCAAGGCAGCGGTTCTCAACCAGGAAAACTTTTCCCCTCAGGGGACACTGGGACATTGGCAGTGTCCAGCGACCTGGAGACTGTCACATCCAGGTATGCGGGGTGGCTCGGTGGTGCTGCGGAGATTGTGTGGTGCACAGGACAGCCCCACAAGGAGCGACCCGGACCCAAATGGCCCTGGTGCTGAGAGGGACAGACGCCGCTCACAGAGAAGCGACCACAGAGACCCGCATCCAAGCAGGCTTCCCAGGGCAGGTGGGGCCGGGAAAGCTGTTCCGTGGCGCAGCATCCCAGTGGCTCTTACGGGGTGAAAGCCCCTCTTAGAACTAAAAGTCCTGAAGCCGAGACCAACTGGGGCCATCCACGGCCCTGTGCCGTGCCGCCTCCTGGACGCACGCTGGGAGCTGGAGACGGTCCAGCCTCAGCAGGACTGGGCCCCGAGGACCCCGCCTGTAACCTGGCACTGGCTGCCTGCAGATCACGGGGCGTGGAGGGAGAGGCTGCCAGTGCTGTCCTAGTGCAGCAGCACCTCGTGGTCACGACGGATCATCTTTCTGAACTTTGCACCTCAAACATTTAAAATGGAGATTTTGATTTTTGGCAAATGTGGAAAATAGATTTCAGCTCAAAAAGCAGGACCTGAGAACATGGTGTGTTAAAGTGTCTTTCATCTCATGCCACTTTGCAGCCTTGGCACCCTCAGACTTGTACCCAGAAGGCAGTAAAGATGACAGCAGCCCCCGTTTCACTGATGGTGGTTCAGAGGACATTGTGAGATGGCTGGAGGGTCAGGTGGCTGTAGGGTCAGGGCTGGGCAAGTGGTATTCAGATGCTGTTTGCTAAGCCCAGAACATTATAGGAGGTAAATAAATAGCACACAGTGTTCTGGGGATAGAAAGATGAGCCCATTTCCCAGGCTGCTGCCAAAATCCTTTCTCCTGTCAGCGTGGGAGGTGACCCTGCCCAATTAAAGGACGTCTTTTGGCCCCTCTTTCCCCTGGCAGCAGCATGGAAGTGGGTCGGGGAGGAGAGGAGCACACTTCCTCCCACCCCTGGGGACTTGTGAGCGCAGTCTGCAAGCTCTGACCGCAGGAGGAAGCGTGGTGAAGTGCACTTCTGACCACGTCAC